ATTCAACAGAGTAATTACATTTGTAAGACATATGGAATTGAAGCAGATAAAATCTGCCAATAAAGCCAATACCTTCAAGAACTTACAAGATAATTAAAAAGCATTCCCATTGATATCTCTCACAATTTCATTGAAATATACCAGTCACTATGGTTAGATTTAGCCTTGGAATTCAGATATGTTTTTTCACCAACTTTATTCAATGTATTTTTCTATGTAGCCTTTTATTATAAAGGCGCTGTCTTTTAAAAGCATTGCTCACATTCACATGGAAATCAGCTTTGCATTACAAGTGATGAGCTTGGAATGCTTACCGATTTGCGAACATCTTTTGAGCCTAGATTAATTAGTTTTTTATTCATGGCCCACTCTTCGTCTGATTCCATTATAGCTTTCTGGAAAAAAAAATATTGCAAGAATATACAAAACGTCCACAAAATGGCGAAGTATGACACAAAGTAGAATTCATTTGGACCAATCCCCACCCCCCAAATTATGATCAGAAGGGAGACCCCCCCCCCCGTTCAATTGTGTCAGATTCTCAGAGATTGCAGTTACTTCAGCAAGGTTTTTCAGAAGTGGTTTGCCATTGTCTCTTACATAGCGCTACGAGAAAGTGACTGGCCCAAGGTCATCCAGCTGGCTTTGTGCCTGACAGTCTCCTGGTTTCTCCCTTAACCACTATGCCAAACTGGCTCTCAGAAATTTCATTAGGACATATTAATTAGGTAATTCAATTTATATATTAAATTAAAGCATAATGAAGACTGATGTAGTAATAACTTTACTCTGTACCTTTCTCTTTTTATTTTACTGTTTTAGAACTGCAGTTTAACTGCAATCTGACATAAATTATTTCAAAATGAATTTCACTTTACAGAATTATACATGCTATTGTATCTTAATAATTGTGACAATTATGTGAAGTCTATTTACGTGTATACCACCACTTTCACCATATCAAAAAAAAAGGAAAGGGAAAGGAAAGGAGGGGAAGGGGAAGGGGAAGGGAAGGGGAAGTGAGGGGAAGAGAAAGAGGAAGGGAAGGGAACGAGGAAGGGAAAGGGGAAAGGGAAAGAGGAGGGCTATGAAATGAAATTCAAGCCAAAGAATCATGTCAGTAAAAGCTCCCATATTTACTAATATCTTTACATGCCATTTAAATTGCTTCAAAATACACAGTATATAAAAGGCATTGTGGGTTCAACATGTCTGCTGGGACCAACATATTCAAATCATCCATCTTTAGAAAAATTTGATTTCCATTTTACAACATTCTATATTTCACTTCTACCGAAGGGTCTCATTCATGAAGAAAAGTTTGCTTTCCCCTCTTTGATTGTCCGGGAAGTGGATCAAAGCAGATAATGCCAACTCCACAGCTAGTTTAATATAACAATTTCCAGGTAGTGGCATACTTTAAAAATATTTCATTGCTTAAAAAAATGAAAAAGAAAAAAAAGAATCATCATCTGAGTCTTCAGCAAACAATAATCTTTTTGCTGATAGAAGGTCTTGGAGAAAAAAAACACAGTTTCTACGAAGTGCTATAAAGGGAAGTACAATAAAATGAGATATGCCTATACTAGTTTTGGCTATGCTTTAGGGTCAAAAGAAAACCAGAGATATTAAAAAAAATGTTACCTTGAAATAGATGGGAGCCATATCCCCCACTTCCTTTGGGAGAGGAATACATTCGTACACCATGTGGTATTGTTTGCCTATACTTAAATTTGTCTCCAGAAAGACACAATCCAACTCTTCAGCTTCAAACATCTTTACCAAAGTTTTTCTGAATACCTGATACAAGAAAGGGTGGGATGGAAGAGAGGAAGGGAGAGAGAGAGAGAGAAAGAGAAGAAAACAATAGTTTCCAACCTTAACATTATTAGGCAATGTGACTGTGCAAATGTCTGCAGTGAATTGAGGAAGTCTTATGCTTTTCATAGTGTTGGAAGAAAAATCTAGTCCGGTTCCAAGCCTGGAGGAAAAACAAAATGCTGGAAATAAAATGGAGGCTGGCTACAAGGAAAAGGGGTCTGTTTATTTGGTTTCCAGAAACTTCAGGAACAGCAGCATGTTTCCGGAGTGGCAGACAAAATGGTTGAGTGAATGAATGGATTTTTATAGGGTTCTGGGATATGGTAATTGAGATGCTCCTGGGGGTTGTGCAATGTAGTGAGTCTTGTGTCTTTTGCTATTCTAATGGTGGTGGGTAAATCCTATTATGTCCTAAAGGTCATGTCCTGTCCTTAGAATTTGGGTGGAGGTATGTAAATTCTTAATCCCATCAGCTCCAGCCTTCTGTGGGAGTTTGTCGCTGAAGGGGTTTTGTTTATGAATAGATCGACCCAGTCTTTCTGAATGGATACAAAATCTCCATTCCAAAAAACGAGTCTCGTCTACTTGAAGCTGTTTTCCTATGGCAGGAAGACTGGGGCTGCATTCTGCCTCTGTTAAGATTTTTCTGCGTTTTTCCTTTGGGGAAATATTCTATCCTGTCTCTTTTTAACATTAAGAATAAAGAATATTTTGATCTGGAGAGAAGGGGGGGGGCTTCCTACATTTTGCCTCTTGCTGCATGCAAAGTAAGATATAATGAACTGATAACTGAACATATTGGGTAATTTTAAATATTTATACAATATGCAAAATGTCAGAGGAACTTCTTGTGGAATCCTTGGTGCAGAGCGCCATTTATTGGGCAACATAAATGGAGATAGAAACAACAGGAGGTCCTTTAGGCCAGTGGTCCCCAACCTTTTTTATGCCGCGGCCCGGTACCAGCATCA